ATTCAGTACTCAGCTTGAAAAACCTGTCCAGTCTTTAGGTATCCAGGTTGTAGCCATATTGGTTTAGAGCTGAACCTCACAAGAGCTGAGAAACTCCATACCAGCTAAGAACTGCCTGCCCAGAGTTTTCCATCTATTAACTCCTCTATGAAATCCTATGAAAGATGAACTTTCTTTTCTACCAAGGAGAACTTTTACAATCTTTTCTCTGATGCCTGATGAAGGGTGTTTGTGCCCAAAAGCTTGCAATTAAAGTACTTATTTTTGCAAAAATTTTGTTGGTCTAATAAAAGATATCACCTCTACTACGAGCCCTAATTGCTCTGTCTACTCTTTTGAACTTTTAACTGAGGAATTCTGAGTTGGAAACCGCAGACACAAAAAACATGGAACCCTATAGGACCATTTTTGCTGCACCACTTTTCAGGGTAGTGCTGCACCACAGTTCCACACCTTTCAGAGATAAATTTTAGTCTCATGACTTCTCTCTAAGATGTATTTTACATATGTAAAATGATGTACAGCAGTAATTCTCAACCAGGGTGCCACACAATATTGGTACTGTAAGATGTGCAAACACTTACACAGGATTCACAAGATAAACCCAGAGGGTGCCTCCCTATGAGTGCACACATGCATTTCCTTGGGGAAAAATAGGAGCGGCACATAGTTGTATCACTGCTACTTGTCTCCAAGGAACACTCCTGCACTTGCACTCTGGCACACAGTAAATTGCCCCATGTACAATTACCTGGGGTCCTGGGGCTTCCCGGGGCTCTAGCAGTGGCAATCTGGGTGCGCAGAACCTGACCAGCAGCTAGAGTATGGTTCTGGCTGGCCAGACTACAGTTTTGGGTATCGCAGGCTGCTGCCATGTGTGCTGTCTCACTTTTTATTGAAGCCTTTTTTTTAGATACTGAGATTTCCTGGTATCCGGGTGTGCAAGAGAACCTTTTCATGCATGCCAAATGCATTTTGCAGAGCCTCAAAAGCCTTTGAGGTGCCACAAAGTGCACATTCCTGCTCATATGGATGTGTCCAGAGATTTCAACTAAGAATCCATAGGCCACGTCCAGAGAAGCACAGCCATGCAGAATGTAGTGTGGCAGACATGTCTGCAGCACTACATACCACACGTTCAGTTATTCTTGGTGCTGCAAGGGAGCAGCACAGCAGGTTTTTTAAACCCCATGTATCCATGGGTCAAAAAAACCCACAGAGAAAAAAATCAGAGCAATGCATACACAGGCAGCACATACCAATCAAAAACCAAGCTGGGCCACCCAGAGCTGTGCTGCAGCTGTACGCCAGGCTCCATGCAGCAGAATCGCCATGGCTGCAGCCCCAAGAGACCCCTAGGACCCCGGTAAGGCTTCTGGGGCTAGCCCAGTCCTAACCCCAGCCTCCCCTACCACCCCTGGGGTAACTTGCCGTGCACCAGGGTGCGCATGGCATGCACATTCCCTGGGAACAACTAGCAGCAGCACAAGGTGCGCCACTGTTAGTTGTCCCCAGAGAACCAAATGTCCATGCACGTGTGGACATGGCCATAGTGTCAAAAACATTGTGATCTGTTGTGGTTTTTCTGAGTTCTTTGCAATAGCAGAATTGTTGTATTATTTTTCCATAGTCAAAAAACAAGTGAAAGCTAGGAGCTGGTATCTTCTGAGTATTGCTGTGAGCACAGGTGGTGGAAGGCCAAGGCTTGTGGGGGCTTAAGTCCCCCAAACTAATTTCACGGCAGCTGACAACAGCAGCAGCACCACAGCACTGCTCAGCATGCAGCCAGGACAGAGCCCCACTTGCGCTTATCTCAGTGCAGCTGAGGAAAAAGTGGCTAACCACACATATGTTGTACCGTGCAGAGCACAATGGGAGTTCTAGTTCTCACACTGATGCATGCACTCAGCCCCCACAAATAATATTTTCTCCCTCCATCTATGGCTGTGAGTCTAATGAGGGGTTCCTTGCATCTAAAGAGGTTGAAAATCACTGATGTACAGAAATTTTAAGTGCACAATGTCTCATGTTAGAGCTGACAAAATCCTGTTTAAATGCTTACATATGCATCCCTCAACACCACGCTACCCAGTTGTATCTAAAGATGAACTTTCTCTTTTTATATATGGTTCAGAACTGGTGCTGCACTTTCAGCTGTGGAAGTATACAAGAAGCAGCAGCTCAAGCTTTAGACAAGCAAGTATGAAAATATTTTATTGCTTATAGAAAGGCTTCACAACAAAAAGCATGGAAATAATAGTGCTTAGTGCTCCAGTGTGAGGACCACCTGTAGCATCCCATTCACTTTTAGATACATCATTATTAGAACAACACTGGGTACTGATGAGAGGGTTAAAGGAGGCCTGTAAAAGAATGGCAGGATCGATTGATTTGCAAAGATGTAAATTAATTTGTTTTGGATGTGTAATGTACAATGGAGTTGTGGAACAGTAACAATCGCAAAGTGGTTGAAGAGTTCAAATAACAAGAAGAGGAGTGCCATTCCTTTTACTAAAGGGAAAAGTTAGGTCAGGTAGACTACAAAGATCTAGTCTGCAAAAGCTGAGAGTTGAAAAAGATGACTCACCACCCAACTGTATGAAGGTTTGCAATAGACATTTCTGAAGGGGAATCTCAGTCTAGAGCAGTGGTTTTCAACCTTTTTCATTTGCAGACCCCTAAAAAAAATTGAATGGAGGTGTGGACCCCTTTGAATTGTAAGTGCAGGTATCCACATACTTTTGGCTGATCACAGTCATCTTTCACAGACCCACTCAACATAGTCTGTAGACCCTCAGGGGTCTGCAGACCACAGGTTGAAAACCACTGGTTTAGAGGGCTTTCTGCAGTGGGAATGATAAAGCATTACATAGAGGAAAACATTACAGAACATGTGTTATGAGAAGATACATTTGTGCAATGACAGAAACACCCAAGGCCAAGGAGTTATTTGACCTTTTCTTCCACCCCCATCAGCCTGGCAGAACAGATTTTTGTCATTGTCAAGAAACAACCCACAGAGATAGTGCTTATGGTAAATGCTATGCATGAGGTTGTCCCCTCTTGGCTAAATACTCATGCAGTCTGAGCCATAGAGTCAGATAAGAAATCCATCCAGTAGATTGAAGGAAGAGTGGTGTGAATGGTACATACTTCCTAACGACACTGAAGAGCTAAGGGGTAACTGGGCAAGTCAAGCATTAGTGCTGTACCTGAAAGAGCAACTCAAAGGCTTTGTAGAATAAAGTATCTGAGGCCCATTTATGTCAAAGAATATCACATCAGAGAAGTTCACAAAGCATATGGCCATCTACTACAATTTTTACTATAGCATACATTTTTAAATGGACAAGAATAAAGAATTTGGGTAAAATATTCAGAACTGCCTAAATCACTTAAGAGCTTAAGTTCCATTCCAAAAGACAGTTAGGCAATTAATATCCTAAGTCACATTGACATTTAATGAGATTTATGCTCCTGAGTGCCTAAATCATTTTTGAAAATGGGTTTAAGCTCCTAAATCAGAGGGAGTCACTTGAAAAAATTGCCCTTTAATAATTGCAGATCTCTCTTGAAAATGAAGAACACTGTGTACTTTTTTAAAATATATTTGATTCTAGGATACATCGTTACATGAAGTATTTTTTTCCCTAATACACCTTCTGAATGGTGACTATAAATTTGCTGTTTGAAACATGGGAAGCTGATCAAGTTGGTTCTGTTCTTAAGGTAGAAATCATAAGTCTTGCATAGTCTGGTAAGTAACTAACCCTAAATGATGCTTTCAGATAATAGAATTATACATACATTTCAGCCTGGTTGTGTTGTACCTAAACTGTTCAGTATTTTTGGGATCCAATCAGGGAATTTTGGAACAGGTGCTCAATGAAGCATTCTCTGAGAATTAGTGGAAGTCTCTCCCCATGTTATTATTTTAACTCTCAATGAAAATAGAAACTGCAGCAGCAGCTGTGAGCAGAATTAAAGAATTCAGGATATTAGTTTCCAAATTATTGTTGCCATTATATGGAGAAGCACCCACTTAGAAGGATGGATACGCTACTTAAATTGGAGTTTGACTTCAGTGAACTGGATTTTTGAATATTTAGCTTCAATGAACTGGACATCATCCAATTTTGGGGGTTTTTTGATTTCTCAGATATATTAAGAAACAATTTCTTATATATATTGCACAACAAAAATCAAACCCAGCTTGGCAGAAACAACTGTAGATTGTTAACTTCAGAGCGTGGCCCTGCTCTCAGAACTTTTGACAAGGTTCTGGGAACACCCCCTGCCTGTGAGTCCCCTCAAATTAAAATAATCTCTGACAGTTCAGGAGGTGATTTTCCTCAAACAGCCTGCACAAAGGAGCCTGCTGTGTCTAATTCCTCTCAACCTGACCTATTATGATTCCCTTGCTGCTTATTCACCTGGCCTCTGAAATGCCGTTGTGTTAACCATAGGTAATTGCAGTTGCCAAGTAATTTGACTGTGAATGAATTACCCATGGGAGGCTTAGCCCTTCTGAAGACTGAATTTTTCTGTCTACAGACAAGGTTCTTTGGGTAAATCCAATGTCTTTTATTAGGTCAACTACAATCATTGAAAAAATTCTTCTTTGCAAGCTTTTGACAACAAGCTCTCCCTACACTATCCACCCTTGCCTTAGGGAGGGATCATCTCACAATGACAGAAGCCCTCATGTAATGGCCCTGCAGTTCCCAGCCAGACTTTAGTTTCTGTCATCAAACTGTTGACAAGAGTCACTTGAGTGAAAGGTGTCTGGGGCTCTGCAGATCTCTAATTAAGGTCTGTGCCCAAGTTCTTTACAACTGCAAGAAGTGGCAAAATAAATGAGTATCACCAACTACAGCGAGCTACAGTCCAGTTTCATCCCTGCTTTAAACATAAGATTTCAGGCTGCAGTTAGGTAGTCATAGGGATCCACCTAGCAGTTGCAGTGAATGAAACTGTTAGAAATGAAGCGAGGACCGAGGCAATGGAAGGTGAATGCATGGTAGGTAACTCTACACACCTGTTAACCACTGAGAATGCAGGCAGACAGCAACAGGTGTGTCTTTTAAACTGCTATTCCACTAAATGCCTTCTCTGCTAATCTAACTAGAGGTAGCGATCAACCCTAATCAGCTCCATTTTTCTTCCTTTCTAGGAGGAACAGTTAAAATGGATCCTGTTGGCTTATGTACGTTTTAAAAGGATGAACGAGGGATGTCTTTTTTTTTTT